AGTGCATGGAAGCAATGCTAGAAATCTTTCTATATAGCTATCTTTACCCCAAACTAGCAAAACGATATATCTTTCTTATTATCTCCTATGCCTTCTCTTCAACAAAATCAGAGAACAAGAGGGTAGAACAGGTTCTGCCAGGAAGTGGGGGAGGATGGGACGGAGGTGGCACAAACAATGTAAACACATAAGTAAGTGTAAAAATGGTAAAGTCAAAGGAGAAAAGAAAAAAATAATAACCTTAAAAAAAAAAAAAGACAGATTGGGCACCAGCATGAGGGTCTTGTCCTGAGCATGCATTGAATGCAGGCAACGACTTCTTTGCCATTTGCAGGTTCTGCAAAACTTCTCCTGGTCCTGATAATTTTTCTTTGGTTTCATTTCACCATTTGTTGTGAATTTTGAAATGTTCATTGTTGCAGAACAATGACTGAAATTTTTTGGTGAACATGGTATTTTGACATATTTTTTTGACCATTACACTTTTCTTCCTTGTGGGTCTTTCAGAGGAGACAGGCCCATGTCTTGGGTTGCTGTTATGTCCATCAACTCAATTTGGAATTGGACTGTGGTGTCCCTCTGTTCACTGATATGTACAGTGTCCAGGCTTCAGTATTTATACAAGGGATGTTAACATTAAATTGAGATGTTCTGGTCACTGAAGAATATAAATTTATACTTATGGCCTCATAGAATAATTTCTCTCCTGATATTCATTGGTAGGTATAATTTTAAAGTATTTGTACTTGATATTTAAGGGCTCATTGAGAGGAATTATATTTGTGGAGTTTTGCCTCAGGAAGGCAGGTTCTGAAATTTATTCATAGATTAAGGCAATAATAAAAAGCTATTTCCATATTATTAGACTGGCATCTCATTGAACTCATTTTTAAATATTTAATTTTTAACTTTCCTATCCTTTAGGTTATATTGAAGGTATTAGAAATAAAATTTCCAGGAAAAGATTGTAGTTTGTCCTATAGCAGTTACTGTTGAGATGTTCCTTATATCTTACAGTGGGTCTCTGAGATGATGCAGTAGAAATGATTCTCTATTTTGAATAACACAAACAGGGTACTGAGAAAAATGTTTTAACGTTATGGACCATGAAATGAATAACTGATCCTGTTTTTCTTTCTCTATTGGCTTCTAGGAATCTTAGAACTAAATATTTTATGAAGCTCTGAAAGTATATAGAAATCATGACATAGATTTTATCATCTGACTTCACCTCTGACTGCACCCTATTCTTACCTTATTTATCTTTTACTTTCTATTTCTTCTATTTATCTTGCTTTGCTGAACACTCCTTTATAAGCCACTTTAAATCCCTTCCATCATAAAACAGAATGTTAATAATAAATGGTGTTTGAGTGTGTTGTCTTTCCACTTTACAAAGACTCTCTCAAAACAATGGCTAAGCGAAAGATTTAACATTGTTATAGTTTGGTATCGTCGAGTAGCAAACTCTGAAATGTATAGAGTACCGGTTATGCATGTTGGACAATAACCTGACTTTCCCAGCAGGAGCTCCAAAGTTAACATGATCCACGAGAGTTAGCCTACATTGGGCTGCAGGAGAAGGGTCTTTGTACCTATCCCTGCCTTAACAAGGAATTGGGTGTTGTCTGTTCTAGGCAATGCTTGACCTTGGCCAAGGTGGATCTCCATAAATGAATCTATTTTGAAAGGACTGGCCACCTAAATGCTGTTAGATGATTGCATGCCCAGAAGCTAGACAAATATGCCCATCTTTGAGAAGGGAAATAAAAAACCTTATATATATCACAAATATGTTAGATAAGTCAGATGCCCTGAAGAAATGACAATCTGCTGTAGAAGTTAAATACACTTAAGAAATCATTTTGATCATAGATGTGTGTACTAAAGAAATCTCCTACTCTGCCCAGAAACACCTAGAGTGTATCTCCCTGAAAGTGTATGATTTGAATGAGAAAATTTCATAAATACATACCTAATAATCAACATCTGAGTGTCTATATTGTGCTGCATACAACCTGGTCATTAGATATTATGGAGTACTCAAATTAGAAATTATGCCAGTACTATATGAACATCACATATATTTCGTGCTTTCTATCATTTCAGTATTGTAATTGGGACTCCAATTATAATTTTCAGGTCTTGCACATTTTTATACTCATGCACAATGAAGTTGCATTATAAGATTTGAAATATTGAATGGTTAGGTAATTTGATTTACTAGTACCACTTTATATATAAGTAATAAAAAATATATTCTCTTACTGAATATATTAGCCACTTTTCTGCCACCTTAAAGCCAAACTCCAAATTATCACACTCATTAAACACCATGAGTACATAGATTATTCAGCTCAGTTGATGAAAGGAAAATAAAAAGAGAAACAAAATCTACTTGTGGAGTAAATGATAATAGAGTCTAATCATAAAAATTATTTAGTATGGTGCTTAATATAAGCTGTGTAATACTTTTCATTTTTAGCTTAAATACCATCTTACCTTTTAAATAAAAAACAGTACATAATTTAAATAGGATTTTTTATTGTGTTTTACGTGAAGAAAATGGTGTTCATAGAGACTTGATAATTATTCACTTTACAAGGTAAAATGCAGAATCAGAATCCAGGTTTCCAACTTCAACTCCAGTATTTTTCCTTCCCTATTGTTCTTTCATTTATATTAATAATTATAAGAAATCAACAAATTTTCTATGCATGGTGTCTGTGTTGGCAAGATATCCTCTTTGTTATCTTATCTCTAAAATGATTTTTAAGAATTAGTTCCTTTGAGTACATAGCTGCAACAATTGAAAAGTGAGCTTTGTTTTTACCAATGTATGTTTGACATCAGTGATTAATATATTCCTCCCTCAATTGCTAAGTTTCTTTATCTTGGTGAATAAAGGATTGACAAATTGTTGCACAAAGAGCATATGCTTCAAAACTATGCAGATATACCTGAGCATCTGTGCACATTAGTTTATTTTTGTTCATTGAGTGGAAATGCAGCTGAAGTGGGATTGACTTTTTGTGACATTTATTTAGTTCTTGAATTGACTGACAAGCCTATTAATGTATTCCCCGAACTTTATTAATGTAATTGGAAAATGGGCCACATGTCAATCAACTTGTAATAAGTAATTATCTTCATAAATACTGTAAAATTATTAGCTTTTAATTTGATACATCCACATACTTTCAAAACAGTAGCATGGCTTTTCTTTTTCTAGAAGAACAACTTATACTGACAAAAATTTAGTAAGTACATTTTAACTGCTCAAAAGTTTACTATCATCAGATGTCCAGTAAAATTGGTACAAAGTTATAGGAAGTCATGTAATAGTTTTTAAACTGCTTGACAGTATTAAACAAGTAATACAGTATAAAACCTAAAAGAAATCCTATGGGAATTAAATATATGTCTACATGGAGCTTATATACCACAGTCAGGTTTAAAAATAGATGTCTAACATAGAGCAAGAGAGAATGGAAAAAGGAAAAAGGGATATATTTAGTATTGAGAAATGTGTCATTTAAACCCACAAATTTACAATGTATAAGCAAAATGTCTGTATCATAAATATCTCAAATGTATTATTGTCCAAGTACAGTTTTCCTCAGATAATAAAAACTTTTGTAATCTTTGGTTTAGAAACTTAGGTCATGCCAGCTTTTGAAGCTGGACAAAATCCTGCCTCTGGAGTTCCTAAATAATCTCTAAGTGCACATGGACTGTGTTTGGGGATGTAGCTGAATGGCAGAGCATTTGCCTAGAATGGTATAGGCCCTGGGTTCAATCTTAAGCAAAAAGATGGATTCTGTTGAAACTTTATTGTACTTTCCTATGAGACTTTCACAAATTGAACATTACCATAACAAGCAATCATCTAAAATTCATTGGTTTATTTTTGAATGTATATTTTTTCCTTACAGCAAATTGCTTATAAAGTTTAACCTTTCTACACCACTAAAATATTTAGTAATATTTGAAGCTGTGTGAATTCAGGTTTATTTTATGTAAGGAAACAAAGCTCAATTATTAAAATTATTAGCGATATTTTGCAGACTCACTCCCCATACCTAAAGTAATTTTCAATAAGCCTGACTTATTGAATGATAAACTCAGAGATAACACAACTAACTTGCTCTCTCAACTTTCCCATAAGTCATTGAACTTGTACACACTGCCACCACATTTTCATATAATTTGTTATTAATTTAACTTAGAAATACTACGTTATTTTGAGTTCCAGAGAGCATAATAGTTCTGTACAACTAACACATGATCTATACAAAAACACAAGTACTTAACATAAAAGGATAAAAATATACATTTTCCCTTCACCTAGCATTATAGTTATATTTTTCTTGAAAGCATTTGTATTAAGAGTTCATCAAACTTTTACATTTAATTGCAAGAGAAGTAAAATAATTGATTTTATCTGTATTTGGAGATTATTAGCTAGCACAATTCACAATCTCCTGAAAGTAAATAAATTTAAAGCATTGTGTACATATTTTTTCAATTATATTTAAATGAAGTAACTGTAGAAGACTGCTGCTTTTTATTGTGTCTTGAATCAAAGTAAAGAAATCATAGAGACAGAGTATGAAAGACAAAGAAGATTGCTTTTAGAAAGTTATCATCCATATTTCAAAAAGTTTCATATGTATCTACTGAAGGTTTTCAAATATTTTTTTAATGTATCAATTATGGGTTCTGAAAGATTTATTTCAGAGATGATTCAAAGGAAGAGAAGAAGTAAAACATATGCAAAAATCATAACCTGATGTTCATGCATATTTCTTGATCTTTGTAAGTGGTCATTTTAATACCTGTAATAGCCATCACACTTAGTGTATCTAGAAACTTAATTCCCTGAAGACAAAGACAACGTATCTTTCAGCATTGTTAGTTGCTGCTGAGTCATTTTGATATTTAAACATTAATATTTTAAGCACAGTTTTTCACAATTTAATACATCTGGAAATGCATACCTTGCACAGTTAGATGCACCTGCATTGTTCTCGGTGTATGTTGGGTCTGAACAGAACACGTGTATGGGCCGTCATCTGTCACATCTACATTCTGTATCTGGAGACTGTAATCTCTTTTATTCAATGTTGAAATTGAAACTCGAGGATCCACTGACCACTTATCACCTCCGGCAAAAATAATACTTGATCGGTTCAGCCAGGCACCCTTTGAAGCTCCATCTTCCAAATAACATCTAAAAATTACCAAACAGACACTATTAATCAAAATGAAAATGAGAGACAACATTATCTTTGTTCCATATGCTATTTCCATATGCGGAATAATAGGATAGCATCAAATGCAAACATCAGACATTAACTCAGCAGACATGGAAGTATTTGGGCATCTTGCTTTCCCAATGATTATGTGAAATGATAATGCTTACAGCTTTGTCTTTTAAACAGCTCCATCTTTTACTGTATGTGTATGCTTCATTGTGTGTGTTTCAATTGAGAACCAAACTCCTTTTTCATTCTATCTGGATGATAAATAAATCTAAATATAGTTAAATTAGTTCAAATAAGAATTTTTAACTAAAATATATTTGTTTGAAATTTTAAGTAGTAGGAAATATCTATTGTTTACATTGGTTTGACCCAATCCAATTGTGAATGTAATGTACCAGATGTGGGATGCATAAAATAGTTCCACATAAGTGTTAATTTTAAAAAATATTTGCTGAGTGCTAAGGCAGTACACTGAAACTATAAACTGAATTTTACTGATAAAACTGTAAACTGCTTTTACTAATGGTTGTTGTAATTAAATGTAATAAAGCTAATATAATACTTTTAGTAGCAATTTTTTGCTGTCTTTTCAATAAAGTATCCTATAGTTCTTCTAGGAAGTATTATTTGTCAACAAACAGTTATAAGGATTTATGGATTTAAAAAGGTATTGCCCTTGCTCTCTAAAAGTTTTAGTATAGAAGACAGTTAGGCAATCAGTTATTACTATACAGAAATAATATTTTGATTAAAACATGCACAAGATACATGAAAGAAAAAGGAACGTTGCTTGACCCAGAAAGGATGTTGGGTATATAGAGAAAGGCTTTCTGGAAAAGGAAATGTCTGAGATACGAAGCTTAGGGGTAGAAGGCGTAGTACTGTAGACAGAAGTGCAATATATGGGCAACATCATGTAGCATGCTTGGCATTTCATGGAAGTAGAAATAAGCCTGAGAGGCAGATGAAATATGAAATTGGGAAGATAAACTAGAACCAGATGATGACAGTAAGAAATATGACAATTAGTATACTTTAAGGCCAAATTTGAATCCATTTATTCAAAGTCAGAATCTATAACAAGATTCACAAATACAGCTTTGTATCTAATAGTAGTCAGGCGACTGAAGATTTGAACAGAAGGCTATGGTCACATGCCACTGATTTTGCTGAGTCCTGGAATTCTATGTTTCATCTTGAAAACGTTCTGTTACAAATTACAGACTGGTTTTCTTAAATGAGTACAAAGCACAGTTACAGAATGAAAACACACATACATGGAAATAGTTTGACAGCATTTCTACAGAATACCTTGGGGGATTGAACATAGTATTTGAGATTGCTACAAAATTGCAAGCTGAAAGCAACAGGGCAGGCTGTTGCCAACTGTATGAAACTAATCAGTGGGTGAAAAAGTAGGCAACAAGGTACATATACTGCAGAATCTAATTTTCAGTCAGCCTCACCATTAACAGGATTCAAACTAGTAGAAGTCATAAAGTCAATGTTAATTGAAAAGCTTTCCTTATATATGTAATGAAGAAAATAAAACCTCCTTAATGACATAATTAAACAATTGTAGTATATTGTAATTCTTAAAAATACAAAAAAGAAGGTAGAGGGGACATATTTCTCATTTCACAAGATCACATTTGTGCTGATATTGGGTAGAACTGAAATATCTCTTTTAGAACTGGGACAATTCATTTAGTATTTGGGTTCACCAAATATTTACTATGTGATCTTTGCACTCATGGCCTTCACATTTTATCATATAGGGTGTTCATAACAACCCTGTAGAGTATAGATTCCTATGTTCTTCATCACTGGAAAAAAAAAGGAAATGTTTAGGTTAAGTGACTTTCCCAAGCCATACTATTAGTGGGAAGCAAAGTGGAATTTATAATCAAGGCTTCTTTTTCCACATTCAATGTTCTTTCCACTGTACCGCAGATCAAAGACTTTCAAAATGGGTTTCAGGAATGAGAAGATGATTAGAATGTTGCAGGTATTACTGCAAGTAATTTCTTATTTACTGAATGTGACCAACTGCTTAACCTGTCCTATTCTAAAGGAAGCAGAAAATTAATTATTAATGGATAGTTTACCATGAAAGTCTGATTTGGAGCACTCTGCTGGGCATTGCCCTTTCCCTAGAGATGGAAATAGCTTTACCTTTATTCTGGAGATGTCAGGAACACTACAGAGATTAATCAGTATGTCTTGGCAGAGGCATTATTTCTCTGTTTTGGCATGTCAGGGGCCATCACAGAAGAATAGAATTTAACTTCTTCACTGAGAAAAAAACAATGAAAAAGGGAGTCCTTTAGGTCTACTTTGCTAGGATAGCTATATTTCATTATTGTCATTGTTCTCAACCCAAAGTTATTCAAGATACATAACTGGAAGGCCCCTTAAACTTGAATCAGATGAAAAACATGGTTTTATTACTTCCTTTCATTTCTGTACATTTATTCTCAAATGACACTTACTATGAGAACCTAATTAATTCAAATTACCATATGAGGTATTTTTCAAATTGAGAATTATCAGCTTTAGGTATGACTTTCTATTTAAATAATCACACACTACTTATATACACTACATGTAGTGTTAAAGCAAATATGAGATGACTATAAAATACATGAAATACTTGAATAATACATAGTCATGTGTATAAGGGTATTCTTATCATTATTACAAAGACTCCTGCAGAATAAAACTATGTCTTTTACATGCCCACATCCTTTAGTTCTCCACCACCTGTCCACAACTTTTTCCTTTACAAGATAAAGAGCTACTATTTAATATATACATGCTGCATTGAGAAATTCAATAAGGAGGGAAAGTAGGCAAGATGGGTTAGAGTGGGAATGAGATTCAGATAAGGGTTTGATAACTATTATTTTTCTGCTTTGGGGTACCAAAAACTTTTCCTTTATGAATTCTGGTGTCTACAAATAAAAAATGTGATGAAAACCTGGTCCACATGGAATGTAGCAATGTTGGTAATGAATGCTGATGAATAACGATAATGCAGAACAGGAAGTAGAAAATTTTGCAATGAAATTGTCATTCTGATTGGACTGACCTGAGAGTCTCTAACTTTGGACATTGATACTTATTGCAAGATTCCTTCTTCCCACAAAAAGTAGCAAGAATTTTTTAGAGTTTAAGTCATAACATCAGTTAGTCCCAGTCTTCTTATTTCATTCATAAGAAAATACTATTCCTACTGTTGGTCAACCCATCCCTGTATAATCAGGGAACCTTGTCTCCAGTCCGTTCCTTCACCTTGACTATGTTCCACACTGTGGCCCTCTAGCTGTGCTTCTATCTAGCCAGAGTGGCTTGCCTGAACAAGTTTACACTAGCTGTTTCTTCCATCTAGAGCTGTTTTTCCCCAGAATACTGGAGAACTTCTTACCTATCTAACTTAGGTCTTTGCTGAACTATGTAAGGTGCTAAATAGAAAACAATAACTATACTGTCCTCTCATTCACACTCAACATACTGTTTACTTCATTATTTTCTGACTTCCTCTTACTTATTTAGCCCTCACAAAACATAATAGAACTAAGTTGAGCCGGATAGTTCTATTATCCTCATTTATAGATGAAGAAACAAAGGGGCTAGGAGGTCATGACCTTAACAAATCCTATCACCTACACTCTTAAACAAAGTGACAACAGGGCTGAGGGGCTTTCCTTGTTCACAACACAGAAATTAGAGTCTAAAGGAGAGGGTGGGTAAGGAGAGAGTGGTCAGACCATTAATGGGGGAAGGGTGAGGCCACAGTTCTTTGATTGAAAACTCAGATCTTTTTTCTTCTTTGGATTTTACAATGGAACATTTCAGCAGCTAGTGACCTTAGGGTCTCTTTGAAGTATAGACAATGTAATAATCTGCATAAAAGTGCTCCATAATGGATATATCCTTTAATTGAATATGGCATGGCTTTTCTTGAAAGTGTTTTTTTTTTCCCCAGTTAAAAAAAGAACCTGCTAGACTACCTACTTTGTAGGAGATGAATAAAGAAATTCCAAAAATACTCTCCTTAACAGAAGCTGTGTTAGCACCATACCAAATATCCTGACAAATACTCAGATTTTCAGTCAATCATCTTGGATGTTTTCTATACACATTGCCAGACATCTGGCTATTGGAAAATACACAAAAAATAGCTTGAATATTTTATTTTGTTTCACAGTGGTTAATTATAATATAAACCCAGGATCCAGAAGTTATGCTTTCCTAACAAGGATGGCATTGTTGCTTTTGAATTCTTTTAAGGACCTCCTTATAAATGATATTATTATACATTAGGTTGCTCCCAATTTGTGTGGTATAAAGTCCCATTTGATGACTTGCTGGTTGGTCAAACTGGCAATGGTATAATTCTAACAGACTCTGCCTGTGATACCACCCCCTGTGGAGATTAAATCAGGAAGGTGGACATCATAAAGTTTATTGGAAATTAGCATATTTAGGTTATTTATTATTTCTAAAGCTCTGTTAAGAAAAAGCCTATAGCTATTGAGGAATGATTTTCTCCTTTCACATCTCTAATTTCCATGTAACACATTGCAGAAGTATGGGCCTTAGCAACATTGCAGGTATTCCACACAGCAGGATTTACTCAGCTTTATGGAGAAAAGATCAGTTTTTCTCAAGACATGCTGATTAAGGAAAGGTCCTCTTAATGGCACTGATAAATAAAGAAGGAAAGTGCAATTTCCTTTAGATTCAAAGCTAAACTATGTGAAAATGATGCTTCTCTGAATGGATTGGCCAGTTACCTATATAACTGTCTTTTCATTGTATCACAAAGTCCTAAATTTGACAGGAGAATTTTTTCAAAAGCACACAAAAGAAATTCAGAGCCCTATGCAATCTTCATGCTAATTCTTCTCACCAAGACAGTTTTGGTATTCTGAACACCGGGTCAAAGAGAAGTAAAAGGAAA